GTTAACAGTAGTGCAGTGGTGCACAATGGTGCACAGTGGTGCACAGTGGTACACAGTGGCGTACAGTGGTGTACAGTGCAGAGAAGTATGCTTCACATGTTCATCGACCGCTTGAGGCAACCCTTTTTCTTGTGATATCAAGCTCATGAAAGATAACTGAATTCTGCACAAGCAGCACCATTGTAGCAACTACAATTCAACACAATACAGGAGTCTCAGAAGTAGAAGCAACGGAATGTTTGCATTAGCGTTGAGAAGCAATACAAGTAGCAACCCTAACTGAGTTGTACTCTCTAGGGAGTACCTCACTGCAGCCTGTAATAATTATATGCATTTGACACCCCCATAGGCTAAGTGAGGGGTAACCAAAGACTAGCAAGCGAAACAACGGTCACAAGACCAGTCAAGAACAAGCAGCAACAACAAAGCTCAGGGTGGCGCTCAGAGTCACCACATACTCCGAGCACAAACATGAGGCCACAAGGCCAGTTCAAGAGTTCACTAGGATATATAGAAAAGCAAAACAAGCAGAGCAAACAACAAGGCTACAGCAGCCGAGAGCCTACCTCAACAAGCCCTAGCTGCATACAGAACCTGTGGTGGTCACCAGGCGCCAAAGCCTTGGTGAAGACATCGGCAGTGTTGGCCTCTGAGGCCACAAAGTCCAAGCGTGCCTGGCCGCGTCGCTGCAACTCTCGCAGGAGAAAGTACCTCACGTCAATGTGCTTCACTCTGCTCTCCAGTCGAGGCTCTCGACACAGGAGGATCATGTCCTTGTTGTCAGCGTACAAGATCGGTGCAGAGCGAGGCCGCTCACCAAGGTCGGCGAGCAAGAAGGTCAACCAGCGAAGCTCCTATGCCGCCATGGCACCAGCGTAGATCTCTGCCTCTGCACTGGACGAAACCACAGACGACGACCGTGTAGACCTCCACGACATAGCACCAGCACCCAGACTGAAGCAGTAACCCTGAGTCGAATGCTGAGTTTCCGCGTCGTCAGCGTAGGAAGCGTCAGCTCAACTGGCTGGGTCCCTCCAAGCACAAGCCCAATGCCTGATGTAGTCGTCAGGTACTTCGCCACCCTCACAGCAGCTGTCCAGTGAACAGGACGGTGTCTCCTAGTCGCAACAATGCGAGAGAGGACGCTGAGGGGAAAGGCGAGGTCCGGCCGAGTACAAGTCATCAAATACATGAGGCAGCCCACAAGCTCTGCGTAGGGACCACTAGACTCAAAGGGCTCGTCGGGAAAGGGGCCAGTGAATCTGTGGTCAACAGCAAGAGGAGTGGGCTGGGTGGTGGAGAACTAAAACTCGAACCGCCGAAGGACCTGCTGCACCATGTGTGACTGTGAGAGTGTGATGGTGCGAGCGGCTCTGTCCCTGGTGATCTGCAGGCCAAGGTAGAGCTGCAGTTCACCGAGGTCAATGCACGTGTGTCTCTTCTGCAATTCAGATTTCACCTCAGCCAGAGCTGCCCTGTCTGCTGAAGCAAAGACCAAGTCGTCGACGTAGACAAGTATAAAGGAAGGAGTGGAACCAGCACGAACAAACAGCGACAGGTCGGCAGAAGAGGGACGAAACCCAAGGTCACGAAGCGTGGAGCGAAGAGTGTCGTGGCACTCACGGGGCGACTAGCGGAGACCGTAGATTGGTCGCCTCAGGCTCCACTGGGTCTCAAGTGGGAAGGTGTCAGTGAAGCGAGGAGGACGCCGAAGTTAGATCTCCTCGTGTAGGCGGCCTTGGAGAAATGCAGTGGGGGAGTGCAACTCGTAGTCTCGCTGTGCTGCTATGTGCAGTAACACCCGAAGAGTAGTCATCTTCGATGTCAGGGCGAAGGTCTGGAAGAAGTCAATTCCCTCACGCTGACTGAAATCCCTAGCCACGTACCGCGCCTTGAACACAGGCGGTGATCCAGGCGGCCGCATCACCTCGAAGAGCCACAAGCCGTCGACTACGTTCGCCATGGGAGGGGGAACTGCGTCGATGTAGGTGCATGTGGATCTCCAAGACGCTAACTCTGAGTCCATAGCCGCTTTCCACTGAGAGACCCACTCCCCTGACATTGCCTCACGGTACGTGCGAGGAGTCAGAATGTCAAGGGCGTTGGGGTCTCCCTCAGGCAAAAGCAGCATGGCACAGAGTGAGGGAGAAGCGGCTGCCAAGAACTCCAGCTCAAACTGCCTGTCCTCTAGGACGTCACAGCCAAGGGCAAACTCGCCCCCGGCGGACGGAGGATGGGCAGGCGGAGTAGCCACTACACGCGTGGCGAAGTCAAGGCGGCGGGTGGAAGCAAAGTCAGCGACAGCGGCAGTAAGAGCCGAGACAGACGACGGAGAGGCACGAGGTTCAGTGACAAGAGAGGCGAGAACACGTGAGACAACAAGACGAGCAACACAGTAATAGTCAGTGATGGGGTGAGAGGAGACAGTGAGAGACGATGTAGGAGGTGGCGGGAGAACAGACACAGGCGGAGCACGACAAGGACTAGAACGAAACAAGACAGTGCGGAGGTCGTCAAAAGGAGACGAGGGACGAGCACGCGGAGGACAACAAGTGGTCCAGTCGTGCGGGAGAACAAGAGGAGGTGACTGTGACTGAGGAGGAGAGAAAACAGCCAGAGCCGAGTCCGGAGGAGGAAACGTAGGGCCGTACGCGGTAGGAGACTGTGAGTGGACAGGAGGAGCGGAGGGAAGACCAAGGGCCCGAAGGCCACTCACTGGTGGGAGCAGCTGCTGCAAAAGTGGCGGCTACAAAGAACGCTGCTGCTGCTCCTGCAGGTCCAACTGCCGCAGCTCTTGCCTCTCCTGCTCCAACCGCTCCTGCTCCTCACGCTCATGTCGGTGAGCCGCCTGGAGACGTGTGTCGTGGTGAAAGGGAGGCACAGTAGTAGTGCCTCCAGCTCCAGTCTCCTCGGAACCAGCACCTCCAGTGCCAGTACCTCCTGCTCCAGCACCCCCAGAACTAGCACCTCCAACGCCAGCACCTCCAGCTCCAGCACCCCCAGAACTAGCACCTCCAGCGCCAGCACCTCCAGCTCCAGCACCCCCCGAACTAGCACCTCCAGTGCCAACACCTCCAGCTCCAGCACCCCTAAAAAAAACACCCCCAGAACGAGTACCTCCAGGGTCACAGAAAATGGGGCGCATGGGCTTGGATCATGGACGTGTGGGCGATGCCCATGACCAAGCCAATGCGGCGCTCAGCAACTCCATTCTGCTGTGGGGACTCCGGAAGCGTCCAGGACTATGAGATGCCCTGTTCGCCGCAGAATCCGCAAAGAATGCCGGAGCGAAACTCGGCCCTACGGTCGGAGTGGAGACAAGAGACACGACTGCCACGAGTGCCCTCAGTGGATAACAGCCACTGGATCAGCGTAGAAGCCACCTCAGACTTCTTCGCGAGAGGAAACACCGTGGTGTACCTGGAATAGTCGTCTTCGACCACCAGAAAATAGCACTCCCTCTCAGGTCCCTACGTAGGGGCAGGGCCCCAGACGTCCAAGTGGAGGGTCTGGAAGGGAGCAGTGGCCGGACGAAGGGAGGAGGAGTGCGGAGTGGCGCGAAGGCAGCCGACGACGCAAGGAGTGCACGTCAGTGCAGGCGAGGGAGGGAGCGACGCAAAGACACGAGGGAGACCCGAGACAAGACGGTGACTAGCCATGCTGCGGAGGCGGGGGATCGTCGGGTGGCCAAGACGGTGGTGCCACAAGACGGTCGGGTGGGCGAGAGACCGACAGGAGCAAGACGCAGCAGCCTGACCAGACGCAGCAACCTGACTAAGACATAGCAACCGGAGGGGACGCAGTAACATGACCGGACTCTGCTACCTGGGGGGACGCAGTAACCTGGCCGGAATCTGCTACCTGGTGGGATGCAGTGTGCAGAATGAAGAGACCTGAGTGGGGCTCCCTAGTGAACGTGGCAAAAAGTGCCTCGGTGGAAGCATCCGTACAGATTGCCATCCTCCTGTGCGTAGGAAAAGTGACTTTGATCCCACGGTCCTGAAGGTATCCAACACCCACCAAGTTCCGAGAGAACGAGGGGATGTAGAGACCAGTAAGGAAACCAGAAGGGACTGCCGGGCACGGGAGAGTGGTTGAGCTGCGAGCGACTGCTGGTCCTGAAGTAGGATCAGCCAGGGCAACTGGGACTGGAGCCGAAAGAGGTGTGACAGTGGTGTGGTCGCGAAAGAAGCACTGAGACGCGTCTGAGTCCAGCGTGAAGGAGAGCGACGCGACAGCAGTCGTCACGGCTGGACTAGTGACTACACAAGCACCTATACTAAAAGCACAAGTACCTACACTAGCAACAGGCAAAGGTCCTAAGCTAGGTACACACAAGCCAAGAGATCCATACGTGACATAATAAACAGCATCCATAGACATATCAAACACAGGGTAACCACTACGAGACAGACCGGGCCAGATCGGTGGCCTCGACTCAGACCCAAAACGCTCACGGTATAGGTCGCCGAGGCGGCTGTAGCAGCGCTGTGCAGAGTGGTTAGGACGCGAGCAGGTAGTGCCAGCACCAGGGCCAGTCAAGATCCGGTACTGGCAGGGGCCGACGTCGCGGCCACCGCGTCGAGCCCCCCAGCTGGTTGGGTTGCTGCTGCAGCCAACGCTACCCGAACCACCAGGCCCCCATGGCTGCTGAGGGCGCCACTGCTGCTGAGGGCGCCACTGCTGTTGAGGGCGCCACTGCTGCTGAGGGTGCCTCTGCTGCTGAGGCTGCCACTGTTGCTGAGGTTCCCACTACTGAAACTGCCGCTGCTGCTGTCCCTGCTGCTGGAGAACTCTAGTGGACGCCATGGTAAAGGCTAGCGGGGTGCAAGAGCTGCAGGCTAAGAGCGATTGGAGCTAGGAGCGAGGAGTGAGAACAGCTAGGAGCGCCAGGTGAAACTAGGCGAGGAACGGCCGGAGCACGGAGCATAGTGAGCTAGAAGCGACTGGAGCAGGAACGGCTGGAGTGAGACACGGCCGGAGCTAGAAACGGTAGGCTAGAAACAATGGGCTCGAGGAGCGGCTGAAGCGAGGAGTGTGAACAACAAGGAGCGCCATGTGAAATTAGGCGAGGAACGGCCAGAGCACGGAGCGAGAACAACTAGGAGCGCCAGGTGAATCTAGGACTAGGAATAGCGGCCTCCAGCCGCGGCGGAACGGTGAGCCCAGTGAAGGAACGGTAGGGAACGGGAAAACCGACGGTGAGAAAGCCCGAGAACGGCCTGCTACGGGCTGTGGCGCGCTAGAGGTGCCAGCCGCTGCAAGAGGTGCCAGTGGGCGGCTAGAAGGAGGTGGGGGCGGCTAGGAGGAGGTGTGGGCGGCTAGGAGGAGGTGTGGGCGGCTAGGAGAAGGTGTGGACGGCTAGGAGGAGGTGTGGGTGGTTAGGACGAGGTGTGGGCGGCTAAGAAGGTACGTGAGGCGCGTTTCTGACTGGGGCGCGCATGTTTGGCCAGGGGCGCGCGTTCCTGGGCAGGGGCGTGCGCTGCTATGCCCAGGTGGTGCGCGCTGCTCTGCTAGGGCGCGCACTGCCCTGCACGTTGGCGTGCGCTGCACTGCAGGGGCGCGCGTTGCTCTGCACGGGCGACGCGACGGGCTGGGGCAGGGCGCACGGGCTACGCGACGGGCAGGGGCAGGGCGCATGGGCGACGCGACGGGCTGGGGCAGGGCACACAGGCTAGGGCAGGGCGCACGGGCGACGCGACGGGCTGGGGCAGGGCGCACGGGCTACTCGGCGGGCTAGGGCAGGGCGCACGGGCTTCGCGACGGGCTGAGGCAGGGCGCACACGCGACGCTACCGGCTGGGGCAGGGCGCACGCTAGGCTAGGGCGCGGGCTGGGCGCGGGCTGAGCGTGGGCTCGCGCAAGGTTAGGGCGCAGGCTCTAGGGTCGTGCGGAAACGGGCTAGGAGGGAGGGCGGAACCTAGGGCGTGAGGCGCCGCGGAGCGACGGAGCGGCCTTAGGCTAGGCTAGGTTAGGAGCGTACCTACTCATGATAGCATCTCAGAAGTACGGTAGAAGCAACGGAATGTTTGCATTAGCATTGAGAAGCAATACAAGTAGCAACCCTAAATGAGTTGTACTCTCTAGGGAGTACCTCACTGCAGCCTATAACAATTATATGCATTTGACAAGGAGAGCCTCCATTCCTTGTGCAAAGCACGTTACAGTTCAAATACCTGTTAGAATCATAGCTAGGAATGGATGGATTAGGTCAAAGGGGGGGTACAAGAGAGAAATCATGTGCCCCCTAACATGCAACTCACTACAGGCTAAACTAGAATATAAGATATAACTTTGACAAAACCTATCCTCCAACTGATCCATCCATGGCAACAGTGCCTGCGTACATTTTTTTTCAGAGACGCGAGTGGTCTACCCTTGCTAGGACCCTCAGCTCAGCCATACAGGCGTAGCCTAGAGGAACCAATCCCATTCATGCCTTCATCGGTTTTGATCATACCACATGACTCTCCTAAAAAGCACATCCATGCATTATATGCATATCCATCTTGTCAGGGACCCTCGAGCGCATCAAGGTGACTTTTGACTCGACTCAGAACCCCAGCCTACAGCCGATCTCTTGCCACGATCTGGGAAAGAATATGCTCAAGGTCCATCTGACGAATGGGCTTGGCCAGGAACCCATCCATGCCTGCATGCGCACACCTGTCCCTCTCCCGCTAATGCTTCACCGTGCTTGCACACACTAATGGCAAATGGTGCAGTTCCAAGCCAGCCTACAGCCGATCCCTTGCCACAATCTGGGAGAGCACCTGCTCAAGGTCCCTCAGGTGGATGGGCTTGGCCAGGAACCCATCCATGCCCACATGCGTGCACTTGTCCCTCTCGTGCTTCATGGTGCTCGCCTGTGTTACCGTAGCAGTGACTGTGGCAAATAAGGTGTTCCACGCCAGCCTATAGCCTATCTATCCCTTGCAACGATCTGGGGAGCACCTGCTCAAGGTCCCTCAGGCGGATGGGCTTGACCAGAACCCCGTCCTGGCACACGCATGTGTACACTTGTCCCTCTCCCACTCATCCTACATCGCCCTTGCACAGACCGTGTGGCAAATGCTGCAATTATCGGTACAAGCCAGCCTACAGCCGATCCTTTGCCACGATCTGGGAGAGCACCTGCTCAAGGTCCCTCAGGCGGATGGGCTTGGCCAGAAACCCATCCATGCCTGCATGCGCACACTTGTCCCTCTCGTGCTTCATGGTGCTCGCAGTGACAGCATATATTGTCGACCTCTGCACAACATTGTTGTGCCCCGCCCTTCTCTCTTCCTCCTCTGAGACATTAGAGTGCTGCTGAGGTACCCTTCCCTGATCAGCCCTCTCATCCTCCTCTCGCTGCTCCGATCGCTGCTCCTCTGGCTGCTCCTTCCGCTGCCCCTCTCCCTGCTCTGCGTGTAATCTACTACGAGAGTTGTGAGCTTCTGTTAGGTGGTGATTTTCAGAGAGTTGGGTTGGCTGGGAGGGCACGGGTTCAACTGCATTGGAGCCTGGAATGGGGGCGATGGGGGCGATGTGGGCGCTGGACTGAAGCTCCCGGATGCGCATGGTGGCTTCAAACCCGTCCATGACTGGCATGTGGCAGTCCTGTATCGAGGATGAACGGAGAGGGGCGGGGTGGGGTGGGATGGAATGGGAGTGTAAGACAGCCCGACAGATGTGCTTGATAGCTTCAAATCCGTCCATTACTGGCATGTGATACTCCTGTATCGAGGATAAGATATCCAGGATAGAAGCAAGTGAGAGCACAGTCTGACCAGGAAGATGACATGGCAGTTGGTGTTTAAGTGACCATGAAAGCAAAGGACATACCAGGAAGATGACGTGGTAGTTGGTGGATAAGAGATGCAGAATGGATAATGATGAGAGAGCTCGCACTCACCATGACGATGACGTGGTAGTTGGTGGATGAACGATAGAGAACATTATTAAATGATGGTGTGGACTGACCATTAAGACGACGTGGTAGTTGGTCAATAAAAGATCGAACAAAGCAACGAGAAAGCAATGACATGCCATGAAGATGACGTGGCAGTTGGTGGAAAAGAGAGAGAGATCAGCAGATGTGAGAACAGCATTAAATGCTGGTGTGGACTGACCATGAAGATGACGTGGCAGTTGGTGGACTGACCATGAAGATGACGTGGTAGTTGGTGGAGCGGCAGGCCTCCACGGCCTTGTGGCCATTCTCTGCCACGTCACACGAGACTCGCAGGTTCCTCAGCAGCTGCACCACCACCATGCGATTCACCGCGTTGTCCTCCACCACCAGGCACCGCAGCCCCGCGAACGGGCCTCCCTCCCTGCTGCCGCCACCAGCAGCAGCAGCAGCAGCAGCAGCCGTGGCACCACCATCAGCACCAGCAGCACCACTCCTGCTCCCACTGCCGCTCCCGTCGCCGCTGCTGCCGCTCCTGCTGCCACCCCTGCTGCCGCTGATGCCGCCGGTGCCACTACCGGCAGTCTTGCTGCTGTTGTATTTGAGAAAGAACGGCCTGGTCCGGGACATGCCTGCTCGTTTGGGAGCAGCAAGAAGCCTCTTTTCAAGGTGTAACCCCTCCTCCTTGTGCTGCCGCTCCGCTGATCTCTTACTGTCATCCATCTCTCGCTGCTCTACCTCTCTCATACTTCTCTCCTCTTCCTCCTCGCTTTCCTCGCCCTCTGCCTCCTCCCCTTCCTTTTCTTCTTCCTCCTCTTCCTCCTCCTCCAGTGCTTCCACTTCCCCTTCGTTTCCACAAGAGCCTCTCTTTCGCTTCCTTTGCCCGTCCGAGCTATCGTGCTCTAGTCTCTCTTCATCTGCCAACCCTCCTGCAGCCACAGTGCCCTCTGGCAAAACCTGCTGATGCTGTGGCTGCTGCTGCACCTGCAGATTGGTCACTTCCCTCCCTGCAAACCTCTCTTTTGTCTCCTCAACCCCTTCTCCTCGCCTTTCCACCGCAAAGCCCAATCCTCGCCCTCCCCGCCTCTCAGCACCTCCTACCATGACCCCGTGCATCTCACGCGCTAAACTGCTCGCCACGCCTTGGTTACAAATCCCCAACCGCTCCAAACCACTCCGCACACCCTCCTCCCGCTGCTGCTGGGAATCCCCAGCCAGGCGGGGGGCAGAGGAAGGAGTGAAGGGCAGGTGGAGGGAGAAGGTGGAGCCGTGGCGGGGGGAGGAGGCGACGGAGATGCAGCCCCCCATGAGCGCCGCGAGTGAGCGACAGATGGAGAGACCCAGGCCCGTGCCGCCGTGCTTGCGGCACGACGAGTCGTCCACCTGCCAGAATGGGGAGAAGAGGCGCGTCATCGCGTTGGCTGACAGACCCATGCCTGTGTCCTTCACGTCTACTCTCACCCACACCCGCACCCGCCCCTTGGCCGCCTCCTCCTCCCCTTCTCTGCCCGTTTTCCTGCTGCCTTCCTCGCTGCTGCTGCCGTTCCGGCCTTCTGTGTTGGCTTCTCCCGCTCGCTCCGCTTTTGTTCCGCTTGTTTTTTGAGTCGGATTGGCCAGGGGGTGGGAGTGGAAGGAAGGGATGGAGACTGCAGCGGCATCTGCTGCAGCAGAGGTGGGAGCAGCAGCAAACGCTGAGTCGTCTGAACACCTCATGCCGGCCGCTGCGTGTGTTGCAACAGCTGCAGCGTCTGTCGTGGGATGCTCCAGTTCTGCTGCTGCTGCCACGCCTGAGAAACATGCTACATCCATTCCCAGACCTCCTGTCACAGCCTCGGCTGGTGGCGCCTCTGCTACATCCATGGCCTCCCCTGCTCCTGCTACAGCCGGTGCTGCTGTGCCTGCACCACCTGTGGCTGCCATATCATCTGCTGTAGTTACAGCTGGTGCTACAGCTGGCGGCACAGCAGGTGAGTCAGAGAGTCTGGAGGGGAAAGAGAGTGAGGCAGCAGCGAGGCCGGCCTGAGCCGCAGCAAGGGAGGCAGTGGCGGGAGTGAGCACCCACGGCTCGTTCATGATTCGATCCAGGTCCTCCCTCAACCTCTGCTTTGCTAATTCCTCCTCCATGCCTCCCTCACCTCCCTCACCTCCATCGCCCTCTGCCTCCCTCACCGTCTGCCTTGCCAACTCCTCATCCATACCGTCCTCCCCTCCCCCTCCGCTTCCCCCACCCCCTTCTTCTTCTCCTCCTCCTCCTCCTCCTCCTCCTCCTCCTCCTCCTCCTCCTCCTCCTCCTCCTCCTCCTCCTCCTCCTCCTCCTCCTCCTCCTCCTCCTCCTCTTTCTCTCCCTGCGGCTGCTGCTGCCGCTTGTGCTGCTGCCACACCAGGTCTCGTTGCTCCTGCTGCTCACATGTCCGCAAGGCCGCTGTAATGCATTCTGTCATGCCTTAGCTGATCCTCCCCTCTCTCCTGCTCTTTAGCACACTCTCCTCCCTCCACGCCCCCCTCCATCTGTCCAACTGCAGGCCTCCCTGCCTCTCCTGCCACCCTCCCCTCCTCATCCACACCTGGCGAAGCCACACCTGGTAAAGCCACTCCGTGACGAACTTCCCCACAGGCTTCAGATTCAAAGGGGTTGGGGGAGAGGGCGGCGGAGAGGAGGACTTGGCCGTGGTCAGTGAACTTGATGGCGTTGGAGAGCAGATTGAGGAGGATCTGCCTCACCCGCAACTGATCCCCCTCCACCCACTCCGGCACGCCCACGCCCACCCGGCTCTGCAACTGCGTCATATAGTTGGAATAAGAGGAATAAAAACACAATCATATGCTTATTTGACATCATAGACATGTTCAACATCTGTAGTAGTGCAAAAGTTGAGGAATTAACATGCTATGATATTAACACGTATACATATTTACTAGCTTGTATATAGATTTTACAAATATAATTGTTGCATTCATGTGTAAACATTTAAGAAATTATACATGTATGTAATATTGCTGCATGTGTATACATTTAAAATATAATACATGATAGTGTACGTATACATCTGCACATATGTGAATATACATATGTATATATTTACACATATATAACAGCATGAATATTAAATGTAGAACTTCATATATTTTGTGTAGCATGTTACTCACCTTAAGCTTCTTGCTTTCGGCCGCGATCCTCACGGCCTCCACGGCCTCGTTCACAGTGTGGTGGAGGTTGAACGGGGAGTGATCGAGAACCAGGGATTTCGTCTCAATCCTCGAGATGTCAAGCACGTCGGAGATAATATGGATGAGCGCGTTGCCGGAGGAGGAGATGACGTCTACGTAGGAGCGCTGCTGCGGGGTGAGGGGGGTGCGGAGGAGCAGCTCAGCGACACCGATGACGCCATTCATGGGGGTGCGCAGCTCATGGCTCATGTTCGCCAGGAACCGGTTCTTCGCCTCGTTGCCCGCCTCCGCCGCCTCCTTGGCCGCCTTCAGCTCCTCCTCCTTGCGCTTCATCTCCGTTATGTCGTGCCACACCGATACATAGTATGAGATCCCGTTCACCGTCACCACCTGGACAATATGGAGACGAAAACGGGAGGAAAAAAAAAAAAAAAAAAAAAAGGTGTGAGATAGCAACAGAGTGACATAGAGGGAGAAACAAAAAACTTTTACCCCTGGCCTGAAACATACAGGGCACCTCACCCGAGTGTTTGCCTTGCTCTCACCTTGCCCTTGACAAGAACCGTGCAGGGGCGGCCATCCAACGAAAACATGTCCCACTCAAAGGGCGGCAGGCCGCCCTCTCTCATAATCCCGTCCAGAATCTCCAGGAAATACTCCAAACTTTGCCGCCCGTTCGGCTGGAACTCGGGGGACTGCTTTACGATGCTGAGATTGGAGAGGGCGGCCGCTTTGGAGGGGTAACCGATGATCTGAACTGTGGCGTCGTTGCAATCCCGAAGGATCCAGTCAGGGATTGTGAACACCTGAATAGGGTCCTGTGTGGGTGGGGGGGGGAGGAGAGAGTGGGAAGGCGGGTTGGGAAAGGGAGGTGATTTTTTAGGCGCCTCAAAATTTGCCTTGCCTGTCCAGTTCGAGGCGCGGGATGCGCTGACGCAAAGTAGTAGGCAGGGTGAAGAGCTGGACATGAACTGTTTGTTTGAATCACAATGGGGAGGTCAAAGATGGCTCGGAACTTGGCATTTTCGTGCCCCAGGAGCAGTTAGTGGTGCAGGCAGAGAGTGGGAGCAAGCTGAACCAACGTTGTAGGTAGGGTTACACGGTGAATATGCGGTTTCACTCACAATGGAAAGATCAAAGATGGCTCGGAACTTGGCATTCTCGTGCCCCAGGAGCAACGCCTCCCTCACTTGCTCTATCAGCCACTCCGCCTCCTTCCACATACACACCCGCCCCTCCTCCCCACTGTCAACACCACCAGCACCAGCACCAGCACCAGCAGCAGCACCACCACCACCACCAGCACCAGCACCAACGCCATCACCACCAGCACCACTGGGCACAGCAGCAGCATGAGCAGAAGAACCATGAGCATGCTTGGCCGCGTCATGCGTGGGAGCAACACCGGTGGGAGCAGCATCAGCGGCAGCAGCATCAGCAGGAGCAGTATCGGTGGCAGCAGCATTGGTGGCAGCAGTTTGAGGGATACCAGGGGATGGTTGAAGCGGTGTGGGGTGGGATGGCGTGGCGAGCTGCGCACACTCCCTCAGCTGCTGCAGCATCAGCGCCTGGTCTCAGGGAACAGAGGAGGGGGGGAGAGGGAAGGGAAGAAAGAGAGGGTGACAACTGGAACCGCTTCCTCAGCTGCTGCAGCATCAGCACCTGGTCTCAGCGAGCAGAGGGGAGCAGAGAGGGAAGACAGAGAGGAGAGGGTGACGACTGGAACACTCCCTCAGCTTCTGCAGCACTTGTTCCGAGGAGGGAGGGAGGGAGGGAGGGAGAGAGGGAGGGCGGGATAAGGGGAGGGATTGAGACAGGGAGGGAGGGATAAAGGGAGGGAGCGAGGGGGGGAGGGAGGGATAAAGGGAGGGAGGGATAAAGGGAGGGAGCGGGGAAGAAAGGGAGAAAGGGAGCGAGGGAGAGAGGGAGGGATAATGGGAGGGAGCGAGGGAGGGACGGAGGGAGAAAGGGAGGGAGCGAGGGAGGAACGGAGGGATAAGGGGAGGGATTGAGGGAGGGAGGGAAGGATAAAGGGAGGGAGCGAGAGACTGCGCCGCAACCTCTGCTCCGTGGCGATTTTACAGTCTGACTACGCAATGAGCTCCTAATGCAGCCCCATATCACAGCTATCATTCCTGCAACCGCTCACCTGACGCAGCCCCTGCTCCGTGGCGTCCAGGAAGGTGCAGAGAACCATCCTGTGATCCTTGGAGGAGTGATCCTTGGCTCTCGTCAAATTTGTAGCACACGAAGCCAGGGACACGGACACTTCAAACCACCGCCACTCGTTACTGTTGCTGCAGCTGCTGCCCCTCCGACTCGCCTCCTCCTCCCCTCCTTTTCCCCCACCCTCGCCCTCCCTCTTCTCCTCTCCCGGCTCTGCGCCACTCTTACCTTCTCCCAATGTCTCCCCCTCGCCCCTCTCGCCACCCTTCCCCTCCTCGCCCTGCACTCGCACTGATAGCCGCACCCACACCTGCCGCTTCCGCCTGCTGGTGTCTGCTGCGCACTCCCACACAGCGGCCTGTGGATCCGTGAGAAGGGTGCGACAACGTAGGTGCGGCAGGGGTCAAGTGGGACAAGGGACGGAGGGGAGAGGCGAGCCAGGGGGCAAGCCGGCTAGGGATCAGCGGGAATGTGAGAGGGGTGATGGGAGAATGATGGTGATGGGAGGAAAGGATGGTGATGGGAGAAGGATGCTGATGGGAGAAGAGGGACAAGGAGAAATTCACGCCAAATAAATCCATCAATATTATTCTGGCACTTGAGGCAGACCATAGTTTGCTTTTCTTTAACCCAATATATTCATCAGACAGAACCATCAGCTTTACTCATTGAACCTCCGGTCTCGGCTAACAGCTTTACTTGCTCTTCTCACCTCCAGGGCGGCTCTGTCGGAGGGGTGAACTAGCGACTGCACGCGCTTTCCCGCCAGGTCGCATTGCGGCAGGCCGAGCAGATCGGCTAGAGCAGCGCTGTTGCAAGAAGAACGGGAAAGGGTGAAATGTTGGAGTTGATACTAAGCCGTTGTTTCTCATCGTCGAAACATGCATTTCGATCAATAGGCCGGAGAAAGCTAATAATGTTCTCAGGCTGTGTGCCTGGCCGGCTCTACTAGTGACAGGTTTTCGCCGCGGCTACAGGAACGCGCGAGCCGCAGTTCACGCAATTTCAACCGCTGATCCAGCACCGAAAATGACGCAATGAAGGAAGCTGGGTACCGGCTCCTAATTGGTTGTGATTCATGTTGCTATTGCAATCATTCGCAATCCAGCCCTCGTCTGAGGCACGCACACGCAGGGAACCCCTCAAATATTTTTGGGAAAGAGGTTGATTTAGGTTGCAATTCAGTTTCTGCTGCCTAGCGAGCTCCCCGCCGCAAATCACGCAATTTCAGCCGCCGCTTTACCTGCATTGCGCTAACCGCTGTTCCCTCGCGCCCCCGCCGCTCACTGCCACCAGCACAGCGGGAACGGTCTGGAGAAGCGAACTCTTAAGAATGTCCAAGTCGTTTTCAGCCATGGCGGGTATGTTTTTGCCTAATTTCGTAATAACCTGTCCTGCTTACAGCTGTGTTAGCATTGGACGTGTTGCGATCAGTAGGACGCATGTTCTGTGTACATACTCTGTCAGCAAAAAAATAGCTAATATAAGCATTTTATTCTATGACAACTTGAAGCCTACGAAGTGAAAAAAATGGCTGCTGCTGGTCTGCGCTGGGGAAAATGCGCTGTTTTGACTATTCTTTGCTGAGCCTAGAACTGCGAATGGGGGGATACTAGAAGTGTCTGGCAAGGGTTTGACCAGTGATTTCAGCAGCCTCGAGCGAGAGAAATCTGCTGCTATGCTGCTGGTTACAAGGTTGTGCGAAAATGGCATCCAGCAGGGTTGGCTGCAGATGATACTGTAACGGGGCCAGTGGTGGATGCGCTGCTCCCAGTGGCGGTGTCTGGCTGGGAGGGAAGCTACAGTTGTACAAGCATCTGGGCCAAAAACGACAGAAACTGGATTTTCTTGCTTCGACTTCTGTCGTATTGAAGCATGCCAAAATCCGTGCCCTGATCCGCGGCTATCATATTTCCCTTTCCAACCACGTGGCACACCAGTTGAAATAGGTTTTGGCAGCAGAACAGAGCTCACTGGTCTAGCGATATCATGGTACAGAATTTGTAGCTTTCGGTACCGAAGTTAAAATGCAAATTAATTTAATTGTGTAATAAGCTGGTCATTCTCTGAATATTACAAACTCGCCCCCCCAGTTTGCTCCAGGCGGAATCTTCATATACAACCCGAAACCCATAAATGGTTTCCAAAGAGGCTCGTGAAAGTCTAGGAGAAATGTACAGAGGATAAAATCGTTTGTTCTGGAAACATCCAGAAACCAGAAATCCCGCCCGCCCGAACCAAAGGTTGGGTCCACGTATATGTACTGTACAGTACATTAATGGTTGGTCCACGCACACGGGCTAGGACAGAATCGAGACACGTCAGCCACGCCTGCCATGGACATGGTTGCTTGCCTGTGCTGCACTGCCTTGGTGATTGTGCTCGTATCGTCTGCATCATTGTGCATCTCATATCGCATCAGGGTTTTTTGAAGCTGGAGACCCAAGGGGGCGGTTATTTCATAACTACCCGACTTTTCTAACTTTAAACTACATGGAGACCCAGACTGCCATAGCACATGTTGGCGAAAAGAGGTCGCACAAGATGCCATTTGTCCGCGTGGAACGCGGGCGAACAGGACTGATCAGCCAGCCTTTCAGGTCGAAGCGTACACGCCACTGATGCTCGTCCATTTCCAAACTTTGAACTGGCAGTTTTGCAACACAACCAACCTAGGCAACCTCCCAATAAAGAGCCAGCTTGATGTGCCTCCACCCGTAGTGGACTTGAGAGTATCTTCACGAAGTCCAGCCACTTCACTTAGTGAAAACAATACCAAATTATTCTGACACTCCCGTTACCCAAGGTCCTGTTGTACATTGTTCACTAACTGGAGCAATACTGATTGTATGTCCCTCAACCTGACTGGTTTGGCAATGAAGCCATCCATCCCCACACTTGCACATCTGTCCCGTTCATGCTTGAGTACACTAGCTGTAACTGCATAGATGGCGGACCTTTGAACAACCCTGTCATGTGGGCTTTCCTCTCCTGCCGGAGCAACATCGGATGCCAACTGTCTGTCTGGCAGGGTTGTATCCTTCATTTTTGCCGTCCCGGTGCTGGATTGTAAATTCCGAATGCGAGTGGTGGCTTCAAAACCATCCATGACAGGCATGTGACAATCCTGGGAGAATGAAAGAGATAAAAAATGTGAACGTCTTCATATTGGGGGAATTCATACAAGCGCATGGTAACGATTGTGAAGACAAATGAAAATGATGTGGTAGCTGGTGGAAACAAAATCAAGGACTACTTATGAGAGCATGGACGTACCATGATAAGCGCCAAGCAAGCAGCACAAGGACATACCATGAAGATGGCGTGGTAGTTGGTGGAAAGCAATCAGGGATCAACAGAGAGACCATGCACGGACATACCATGAAGATGATGTGGTAGTTGGTGGAGCGGCAGGCCTCCACGGCCTTGTGGCCATTCTCTGCCACGTCACACGAGACTCGCAGGTTCCTCAGCAGCTGCACCACCACCATGCGGTTCACCGCGTTGTCCTCCACCACCAGGCACCGCAGCCCCTCAAACACCCCGCCACAAGACGGGGACTTGGGAAATGCGCCACCCTTAAAGGGCGACTTGGGGAATTTCCCGTTATTAGAGGGGGATTTGGGAAATACGCCACCCGTAGAGGGGGACTTGGAAAATGCGCCACCATTAGAGCGCGACTTGGGAAATACCCCATTAGATCAGGACTTAAATTTTGCGCCTGCTACAACCTCTTCAAGAGGCATCCTTGTCTCTCCATGTCTCTCCCTCCATAACCTGCTTTCTCGCATCTGCTCACCACCTTTCCCCTCCTGACCTTCCTCTGTTGATCCGGCAGCGCCTTCGATTCTCACTCTCTTGCAACCTTGGTCTGTCCCAAACACCTCTCGGGCTTGACCTGACTCAGATGCAGCTGCTACCCCTTCAGACCCCTCACACGCATCTTCCGCACTCCGTCTCCCCTTCATACTTCCACCAACTGGTTTCACACCACCTCCCTTTTCCTCTGACCCATGCTGCTGCTGCTGCTGCTGCTGCTGGTGCTGCTGTTGCAGCAGCTCACCAGCATGACTAGGCAGCAGCTCCTGCTTGTTCCCATCGTAGTCCTGCAGCGCTGGTGCCACTGGCAGCACAGGAAACACCCCACAGTCAGCCATATTTTCCAGCAGAAAAGATCGGGTCCTCTTGTGCCCCCGGCGCCTCTCACTGCCTTTCTGCTCCTGCGTCCCCTCCCCTTGACTACTCCTAAGAGCAACCCCCGCAGCGGTCACATCCGCAGCAGCGGGAGCAGCAGCAAGAGCATCCGTAGCAGCAGGAGCATCAGAAGCAGCAGGAGCAGTGGCACCACCACCACTTATTATACGCTCACCACCACGTACACTCTCGTCTGGGCAGGAGGCAGGCGTGAAGGGCAGGGAGAGGGAGAAGGTGGAGCCGTGGCGGGGGGAGGAGGCGACGGAGATGCAGCCCCCCATGAGCGCCGCGAGCGAGCGACAGATGGAGAGACCCAGGCCCGTGCCGCCGTGCTTGCGGCACGACGAGTCGTCCACCTGCCGGAACGGCGTGAACAGCCGCGTGAGTGCATCGGTAGAGATCCCCTCTCCTGTGTCCTTGATGTCTATCCTCATCCACACCACTGCCCTCCGCTCCTCCCCACCCTCATCCGCATCCCCACCCCCATCTCCGTCCCTATGTGTATCCCCATCCTGATGCTCTTGCCCATGGGCGTGCCCTGCCCCATGCGCATCCCCTTCAGCATCCCCTCCTCCCCTTCTCCTCCCAGGCCCACTGCCCTTTGCATCTGGGCTTTCCTGCACTATTGCTGTCCCTGCCTCTGCCCCTGCCCCTGCATCATCTGCCACGTCCCTGGTCTGACCCGCCCCACACTCTCTCTCACCGCCTCTACCCACATCCCCTCGGTCCTCCTCGTGTCCGTCACTTTCCTGCCCCCATGCATCCAAGGAAAGGGAGTGTGGGAAAGCAGGGCTGACTGGGCGCAGAGAAGCGGTTGAGAACACTGCGTCGTCTGCAGCTGCATCTGCTGCTGTTGCTGCTGCAGCATCGGCTGGGGCTGGCGCTGATATTGCCCTTGGAAGGGAACGCGCAGGGGCGAGGGGGTGCAGAGAGGTGATCGAAAACACACCATCGCCTGCTGCAGCATCAGCTGCGGCTGATGCAGCCACAGCCATGAACTCAGGTTCCACACTCTCACCACTCCCACTACGCTCACCACTTCCACTCCGCTCACTGCCGCTATACCCCTCGTTGAGAGCTCTCCCAAGCCGAGCTTGCTCTTCACTGTATGCAGCGTTTGCAGCTCCTGGCTCTGCTTCTGCTGCTGCTGCTGCTGCGCCCATCACAGCTTCCTCTGCGGCCAAATCCCTTGCATCTGCTACTACCCCTGCGTCTGCTCCAACCCCTGCCTCGGGTTCAGCAGAGAGGCAAGCTCGTTTCTTAGAAGCCCCACCACTGCCCCTGCACTCTGTGACTTCTGCTCGCACCTGTTGTGTCTCACCATGCCTCCGCTTCTTTCCTGCAGACACAACAGCTCCTTCTGCTCCCTTCTCTGTCTCACCATGCCGCCGCTTCCTCCCTGCAGACACAACCCCACCCGGCTGTTCCCCAGACTCAAGGGGCGAGTCGAGGGGTTCTGCGCTTTCAGGGTCGACGGGTTTCTCAGTTTCATGGTCGAAGGGGTTGGAAGAGAGGGCGGCGGAGAGGAGGACGCGGCCGTGGTCAGTGAACTTGATGGCGTTGGAGAGCAGATTGAGGAGGATCTGCCTCACCCGCAGCTGATCGCCCTCCACCCACTCCGGCACGCCCCCGCCCATGCTGCTCTGCAACTGCGGGAAGAGAGGGAGAGGGTTGATCAGGTGAGAGAGGAGGTGCAGTGAGAAAGTATTGCGCGAGGGGACAGGAAAAGACGGCAGACAGGGGGCAGCTTTGTACCGATTCCAGATGGTTAAGTTCTTCGTAACTAAAGCAGGCACGACCACTTAACGCACTTTCGCATCCAAAGTCAGAACTGAGCCGAAGCAATTTCTATCTCTTACCGCGAGTTTCTTGTTCTCTGCAGCTGGCCTGACTGCCTCCACGCACTCAGCCACCGTCTCCCGAAGGTTAAACGGGCAGCAGTCCAGCAGCAGCGAGTTGGTCTCAATCTTGGTAATATCCAGCACATCTGAGATGATATGGATGAGCGCGTTGCCGGAGGAGGAGATGACGTCGACGTAGGAGCGCTGCTGCGGGGTGAGGGGGGTGCGGAGGAGCAGCTCGGCGACACCGATGACGCCATTCATGGGGGTGCGCAGCTCATGGCTCATGTTCGCCAGGAACCGGTTCTTCGCCTCGTTGCCCGCCTCCGCCGCCTCCTTGGCCGCCTTCAGCTCCTCCTCCTTGCGCTTCATCTCTGTGATGTCGTGCCACACCGACATGTGAAAGTGCTCGTTGTTTATGATTGCCAGCTGCGCAGGGAAGGAGTTTGGGGAGGGACCGTAATCCAAGGAGAAAGCAGGAGTAAGCGTTGCAGGATGAGGCGTCTGACAGCACATGAAGCTCTGTGCCACGCAGTCGAAGAACATGCAGCCACTCAAATGGCATACGCTCCCCTCTGTGAGGCACAGTACGTACTGGTGCTGCGTCAACAAAGCTTCCTCTCACCTTCACGAGGACATTAAACACTGAACCATCCAATCGGGTATGCACCCACTCAATTGGCACACCATCCGTTTACTATAGCGCATACAGTTCGAAGCTTCCTCTCGTCTCACTCACCTTGACCTTCGCGAGCACGTGAAACTCTGAGCCATCCAATCGGATGTGCACCCACTCGAAAGGTGCACACTCCCCTCTCTCCATCAGCTCTGCCTTTAGCTCCTTGAATAGCTCCAAACTTTGCCGCCCGCACGGCTGTCGCACGGGGGAGTGTTCGAGGAGGTAGCCCTTGCGCAGATTTGCCAGGGCGGCAGAAGTGGAGGGGAATCCGAGGATGCGGGCGGCGGCGGGATTGAGGTCATGCGGTATTAGATCCACTGTGTTGATGAGAATGGGATCCTGTCGGGCAGGGGGTGGGGTGACAGGAAAAGGGGGGTTGTTTAGGTACCTCAAAAAGCAGCGGGATTGAGGTCATGCGGTATTTGATCCACTGTGTTGATGAGAATGGGATCCTGTGGGGAGATGGGAGGAGAGGAAGGGGAAAGTGTAAAGGTGAGTTGAGGCAAAGAAAACGGGACAGGGAACGGGAACGAGTGGAGAGTGACGGTGGTGCTTGTCAAATATTGCTGTCTCACCATGGACATGCTTCTTGAGTCGACTCAAAAGTTGCAACTTGTCGTCTCACCATGGACATGTCGAAAATCGCTTGAAACTTGGCGCTTTCATGGCTCCACTGCAGAGATTGCTTGACTCCCTTCAGCATAACCACCATCTGCTGCAACGCGTCCATGCTGCCAGTATCTCCACTCTCCACACCACCGTTTCCCCTGCAACCCTCACTCGCCCCGTCGATCCCACTGGCCTCTCCACCAGCTGTCACCTGCTCTTCCCTCCCTCTACCCTCCTCACCCGGCTCTGCCTCCCTGGCATCGCCGCCGCTGTCAGCGCCACTGCTGTCAACGCCACTGCTTCTGCTTCTGCTTCTGCTGCCACTTCCCGCCTGCTGCTGTTGCGCCACCTCGTTCGAAGCAGAGTGGTTGACTCTAGCGGGAGTGACTCTAGCGGGTGGTGACTCATGCTGTGAGTTGTGATGGTGCAAGTCATAGTTTGCAGCCATGTCCTGGTGTGCGGTCATGACAGGCCCAACAGAGTCCTTCAATCGCTGCAGCATGCGATCCTGCCACAGGAAAGAGAGCAGAGAGAGGGAGAAAAGCAAGAAGCATATTCGAAGGCGCCTCAAAAGTGGAGAGGTGGAGAGGTAGTGGATGGAGAGACAGTGGAAAGGAGACAGTGGAGAGGCGAGAGGGCCGCGTCACTACCCCAGTGAGCAACCTCGGTGTTGTTGCCTGCCTTGGCCAAACAAAGGCACCTCTCCGTCCGCCATGTAGTAAGTCGCTTTTTTTGTCGACTCAAAAATCGACCTACCCCAGTGAGCAGCCTCGGTGTTGTGGTCTGCCTTGGCCAAACAAAGGCACCTCTCCGTCCGCCATCCCTCCATCCACCCTTCCTCCCGCTCACCTCTTGCTTCCTCCGCTCGGAAATGTCCAGGAAAGTGCAGAAAATCATCCTTGGCTCGCAGCCTCCGCCACTTGGACCTTCGCGGGCTGTTTCTTTGGGAGGCAGTCGCCGCAAAGCTGTACACGTGGCATCCCCCTCACGAGGACACGTGGCAAGAGAGACGGACATCTCAAGCCATCTCCACTCCCTGCTGCATATGCTGTAGGCGTCCTCCTCCTCTCTCCCCTTTCCCCTCCCTTCTCCCTCCTCTCCATTTCCCTCTCCCTGGCTCTCTCCCCTCGTTTCTCCCCTCTCATCCCCCTTCTGCTCTCGTTCACCTCCCCCTCCTAGGTCGGTCAGCCTCAACCCAACACGTCTCTGCGCCCTGTTGCCGTCCGAGGCAGCACATCCAGTCAGCACAGTCTGTGCCGGGAAAGGCAGGGAACTGGGAACAATTAGACGCGGAGAACAAGATCTGCGAACTTCGCAAGGTGGCGAGAGAATAATTGAGATTCGGCGAATTTTCTGAACAAGAGTTATGGACATGGCAGTTGAACCGAGTTGTTTATTGAAGTAAATAGAGCGTGGATGTGCCAACAGAGTGCGCACATGGCTCTCCCGAGGATCGCCCGTTTGGACCTGCGAGAGATGGTGCTTGCCTGAGCGGAAGCTCGGTCTGCTGGGTGGACCAAGGGGAGGAAGCTCTTTCCTATGATCTGCGAGTGTCCGCAATGCGCGCCGAGCAGGTCCAGCAGCGCAGAGCTGCTTGACAACCATGAAACATAGTGGACAGGAAACACGCCAGATGAGTGAAGATCATGTGTATTCTTTTGGGAACGGAACAACCATGAAACATGAGTCATGCGAACCACGGCGCCACAGCGGGAACGGAACTTCAACGGCAACAACTTGTTTGGCAAATAAAAAAATCATAATCGTGTATTCTTTTGGGTGAAGACCTGGACAGCGGATAGGAGAAATCCGATGATAATCACGTCATCCGTTCCTCCACAACATATGCTTTCATCATGCTGATGTATTCTTTATCATCCTTTTTACCCAACCCTTGCATTCAGCAAGACGCACAGTGAAAGCTCAATTGCACTTATTAGCTCATCTACAGCCTTCAAAGCCTACCTGCATTGCACTATGCGGTTCTCCCTTGCGTCGCTGCTGATGGTGAGCAGAGCAGCGGGAACAGCTTGAAACAAAGAGTCCTGTAAAAGTGACGAAAATGTCGACATTTTTATTTCTACTAGATGATGCAGCCACGGCAGCCTCGTTTCTAGGAATATATACCTAGACCCGTCGTAATACACCCATTTAACTACTGATCGTAATGACCAATTTCATTTTCGTCGAGATCAAAGTTTTGATGTCAAAGGACGGCTACCGAATACGCATAACTTTACTGGAAGGTCTAAATTGGAACAAGCTGTTGCTAAACCGGTCTTTGAGATAACGCTCTGCATGAAGCATTACCTCAACAAATGCTCAGTGAAAGGGTTTGTTGGCCAGGACAGGAGCAACCCTCTGATAGTAGAAGCAGCTCAGAGGGCGTTTCGGAGTGGGAGGGGCCACGGCATCCATCCAACACAGGATGGACGCAGAAACAAACCATTCCGCAGGGATCTGCTCTGTGACAGCAGGAAGACCTTCCTGATTCCGTTCTGCTACGTGTATCCACAATCTGAGAAACATTTGCAGCAGCCCGCCAAAATAGCAGATGAGTCCAACGAACCCAATGCAAAGCGGTTTGCGAGACTGGGGATTCCAAACGAATTCGTCAGGGGACTTGATGCCCTAGAGATCGGATGCGGAGTGGCAGCAGCGCGAATGAGGTGGACGGATGGGATGCGAGGAGCTGGGAAATATGCGATGCAGCTGGATGACATGAGATGGGACGAAATCGGGGGTGGGATGAAATGAAATGGGATGGGATCTTGAGATCAAGGGATGCGATGGCGTCCGTGGCAGGATAAAGGTTTGGGGTAGGGTGGAGAGGGATGTTCTTTGTGGTGCGATTGGATGGACAGATGGTGGCGAGTCGGTGTTTCTTTGTGGTGCGGCTGGTTCCTTATGGTGATTCGCGCGTGCACTGTTGCTTTTCACGAGATTTTGTTTCACGTGGTCCAAGTCAGTGCTGGCAAAGGGAGTGACGGCATATCTGATGCGATGGGATGCCGAAGATCTGGTTGAAACTGGTGCCACTTGCTCTTGCTTCAGCGAATTAGGGTGTTTGACCCTAGCTAGTCCAGGTCAGTCAACTTCTTTTTTAGCCTCAGTGGACAAAGCATGTATTCCTAAGAAATTTTCCCTGTTATTTTTTGGGATTGACCTTTCCGACCAGGTACAGCCTGCACGGGAGCCAGCAAGAAATGGATGACTATGGCGCTGCCACAACCAAGTGCTACACCAATGCTATAATGAGCCACAGCCACGTTACTAAACCATTCTATTACCATTCACTATAGCACCATAACATTTCAAATCGAGTACTAGTATTCCCAGAATAAAAATATCACCCACCAAAACACTAGCACTCCTGTTTTGAGTGTGGAAGAATTCACTCTATGCTATAATGGGAAAACGGTAAGTGTGTCGAGTCCTAGGGCTGTCAGTAAAATGTAGGGGAGGTGGTGGAGAGCTGCTGGTGTTTCAATGATGACTTAGCTGCCAATTCTGCACCAAGCATCTGCAGAGAAAGGGAGCACAGTACCAGGGGAACAAGACTATGCTTCAATGACGCAGGTTTAGATAGCAAGCAGAGTCAAATGACAAACCCTAGGGACTGAGACAAGGGTACAAAGGGTCAGTAGGGAAGTGAGCGATAGAAGCGGAAAGCACAAAAAACCCGACTCACCCTGTACTTCGGTGCTGCCTCCACTCCCTTTGTCAAATATCTTCCACTGCCATGGCCACTGTCCCCCCAATCATCCCCACTCAGCACATATCCCTTCTCCCCGCCTGCCCCAACCCCAAGCGCCTCTGCCCCCACTTCCCTCCCTGAAAAGCTACTAGCACAGTCCGAGAAACTGCCGCTGCTGCTAAGCCCTTCATGTGTGCCGTCCCCATCCCCGTCCCCATCCCCATCCCCATCGCCCCACTCGTCACTCTCACTAAACCCCGCCACTTCTGTCGTCGCATCCGTTACGCTCCACATCTCCGTTCCCTCGGTAATCGCATCCGCATCCTCACGATCTAAACCGTCCATCGACCCTCCCCCACCGATCGCCCCTCCTCGCTCTCCCATCCGCCTCCCCTTACCCCCTCTCCGGCTGCCTCTCCTCTGCCCGCCCTCGCTCCGACACCTCTCCTTTTCCTCGTTATTATCCCGCCCGTTATAGTCACTATCGCCTTCAGGCTCGTCGCTGCACTGGCTTGAGCCGATAATATCACCCCAGACACTCAACCCGCCGTCCACACAGGCAACAAGGGAGAGCAGTGAGTCGGAATGGTGGAGAGCTGAAGCCGCAGAGGGCGGGTGCGAGTAGGTTGAGAGCAGCAACGCGTGGATGTTGCTCATCGGATGCACGTTATTTATGGAGCCACTGTTGCTCGTGCAACTCCTGCTGCTGTTGCTGCTCCTGCTGCTGCTGCTTGTTCCTAGGGCGTGTTTCACAGGCAAGGTTCGATCAGGAGATGCCACCCCCGCTAGAGCTTGATCCACCACTGACAGAGCCGCACACACCTCCTCTGCCACCTCCACCACCACTTGCTCCCCCCACTCCCCCACCTCCCCTCCCTCCCCACACCCCTCCCTCTCCACCGCTCCAAACGCCTCTCGCCCTCCCGCTACCCCTCCTCCCGCTCCCGCGTTGCCCCAACAGCCCCGCTGCTTCCTCCCGCTGTTGCCAGCACTGGAAGGGGAAGCACCACTGGGAGAGGACCCTCGAGGGGGGGTGGAGGGGCGGCGGGGGCTGCGTGGCACATCACTCAACCTCCCCCGGCTGTTAGAACCGCTACCAGTCCCACCTGACTGGCCCCTCCCATGCGCCCCTTCCAATCCGCCCAATCCAACCACTCCGAACCCATCTGCGCCTGCCCCAACGTCCCCAGCACCAATCCCAGCACCGCCAGCACCAGGGCCGGTGTTGTTGGGTTGGGAGCGGCGGCGGGAGGAGGGTTTGCGAGTGGAGCATTCGCCGCAGGTGGCGCAGAGGAGCTGATCTGGGAAGAGAGGCGGGAAGCCGCAGGCAGAGCAGGCGTTGGGCTGCCAGCGCTGCACCCCTGGGAGCACAGGCCCGCCAAACACCTGCCATACAGGGGCAGCATCGGAGGTGGGAGACACATAGGCGGGCAATGAAGGCAGGCAATGAACTTGTCGAAACGACCTTGAATTGCAACCCTTCAGAGAGGAATAACATTGCACAGAGCTTAACCATGCACAGACGCAGTGCACATGCCATACCTGCATGTAGTTTCGGTACAGCGCTGCCACCGCACCTGTTTGAAGGCTCGGTAGCGAATCTGGCACTATACCAGCATGCAGGTTCGGGAGAAGCGCCGTACCTGGCGGAAGGCTTGGTAGTAGTGCAGATGCTCGGGGTCCCGTATCCGAACCTGGTCCTCCCTCTTCACCCTCTGCCTTTCTGCCTGAAACTCCTCCCGTGCCATCCTCCTGGCAAAATGGCGTGTTAGTGCCACTGTGCCGGCTCCCACCTGATGAGGAGAGAGGTCAGAAAGGGAAGCAGAGAAGAGGGTAGCAAGGAGCACAAAGGTAAAACACTTGAGTTGACTCGGCTCACACTCCTCACTAAAACAGTCTCCCACCCAGACAACTTGAGGGGATTCGTTAGCTTGCACACATAAACGACTCATAAAAAGGCCAGGAGCAGCAGTAGGGTACGTGCTTGCAACGTCATTTAACCACAGCAACCCAACCTAAACTCATTCCACCACTCTGCACACCTCGATGGGGTCCTTGGGCCGGCGGGCGGACAACACTTCTGGGAAGGCCATGCGCAGCAGCAGGTTGCCCTCGTTATAGTCACACCACTCCTCACTGCGCCCCTCCCCCAGCAGCTCGTCCTTGGTCAGCCCCAAGGCGAACTCCTGCAGGGCCGGGTGCAGGAACGGCTGCCGAACCTGCAGGCTCGGACACAAGGGGTAACGGGTTAGGCAGGACGGGAGAGCGAGAGGAAAGGGCAAAGGAAAGCTGAGAAAAGAGTAGGGAAGGGAGCCAACACGGAGTAATAGAACGGGTCACCTGAAAGCCAACACGTGACCTAAATACAACAGTATGAATGTCTGTACTGGGTATTGAGACGTCACCAAAGCATAAATGTTCTTGCAGAGAGAGGTAACGGCTCACCTCGAAGCCAAGAGCCTGCGCGAGGTCGCGGCAGGGGAAGCGCAGCACATCCACCATGTGGTGCCAACACTCCTGTAGCTTGGCATGCCACCTCAGTGCGCAGTGGTATGTGGGAACCAAGTAACAAGGAGGCTCACCTCAAGACCCAGTGCCTGGGCGAGGTCGCGGCAGGGGAAGCGCAGCACATCCACCATGTGATGCCGACACTCCTGTAGCTTGGCATCGCTCATTCGCACCATGAAGTCGAACCTGCCAAGCAACGACAGGCGAGAGCCACAGAAAGGGACACGTGCGGACGGGGAGAGGTGTAAGCGGGAACGAGGGGGCACAAACAGACAACATGAGTTGAGGCGCCGAAAGCGAACAATGAGTTGAGGGACAAGAGACATCCCTGGTCGCTTGCCAGCTCTGACTTGAGAACGATGGACAGCTTTCTCGACACATACTGCTGCCAATCCCATGTCTAACCCCTTCCCATCCTTCCTCAACCCTCTGGTCTGGATTCCATACTAAATCCTACCCCCCCCCCCACCACCTCTGTCCCCCTCAAGGCACTCACGCTGTGAACAGCTCGTCTGCGCCATCGCCCACCATCACCGAGCAGAACCCCTGCCGCTTGGCCTCCCTCAATCCCGCCGCCAGCACCACGCCCATGCGGATCTGCACCAGGGCGGGATGGGGAAGACAAGGGAAGGGAGGGGAGGGGTAAAGAGGAAGCGATTAAACATAGCGGCATTTGGACTCCCTCGATCGCAGGGACCATTTCAACACCAGCAGCAGCATTCTCAGCATGCACACTACAGCTCCATCTCCAGCCGGTGCTGATGCCGAGCCTGGTCAGCCTGGGTCACACTGCAGGTTGCAGGCTGCAGGTTGTGCGAGACACCTGAGCCACCCAAGCCACCCAAGCCACCCAAGCCACCCAAGCCGGAGCCACTGGCTCACCTCAGCGGGGTCGAAGCTCTTGAGCACGCGCACCACGAACTGCAATTCCGTCTCCAACAGATGCTCCGGCTGGAACCCTATCTAGGGCACACCTAGTCACTCTGCAACCTTCCACCTGAGGCACTCACTCACCTCAGCAGGGTCGAAACTCTTCAATACCCGCACCACGAACCGCAATTCCGTCTCCAACAGATGCTCCGGCTGAAACCCCGGCCCGCCCCCCACAAACACATGCCCCCCGCTCCCCCCCGCGCCCATCCCCGCGCCCAGCTGGCATCCGCGCGCGGCCGCCGCCGCGGGGAGCCTGTCCGCGGCCTTGGGGCTCGCGACGACGGTGATAGCGGCGGCGATGCTGCCTGGCCAGATGAGCGAGGTGGCAGCGTGCGCAATGATGGTGGAGGCGAGCCCGCCCGAGAGGAGAAGGCAGTCCGCGGGGAGCGAGTCCTCTATGGTCGCGAGGAAGAGCGCGCGCAGCTGCGCCGCCTTGAGCGCCGCGCCTGTGAGGGAGATGGCGGGCGGAGGGGGGAACGCGGGGGAAGCGTCCTCCTCCTGCTGCTGCTGGTGCTGCTCCTGCTGCTGTTCCTGGTAAAGCTCTGGCGTTGCGTCTGGTTGCGTCTGTTGCTGTGACCCCTCCTCTAGCCTCAACTGCGTCAAAAAGAGCTGCTGTATCCGCTCCCGCTCCTGCTCCTGCTCCTGCTCCTGCTCCTCCTGAGCCAATTTCTGTGTCTGCTCCTGCGCTTGCGCTTGCGTTTGCGCCTGCATTTGCGCTTCCTCTGTCCTCACTTCCTCTTCCTTCCTCTCCGCCTCAATCCCCCCCTCCTCCGCGTCCTTCCCCCCTTTCCCCCGCTTCAACCCCCACAGCGACCGCCTGGAGCTGCGCCCGGGGGGGGAGGGGAGGGGCGCCAAGGGCTCGGGAGCCGGTGCGGAGGGCGCAGCACTTGCGGCAGCAGCGGCAGCACCGACAGGAGCAGCGGCGGCGGCAGTGGCGCTGCTGCTGGCTGTTGTAACACTTCCCGTGTAACCAGGAGGCGGGCGAAGAGGAGCAATAAACGCGTCGTTGTTTACCACCTTCGCCAACTCTCCCTTGCTGCTCCCTTGCCCTTGCGTCCCCTGCTGTTTCCCCGCCGCTTTCGCCACCAAAGTCGCCTCCCGCGCCGCTTCCTTCGCCCCCTTAGCCGCTGCTTCCGACGCCAATTGCGCAAACCACCCCTCCCCCTCCCCTACGCTCCCGCTCCCCTTTTCCCCCGCAGTACCGCTCCCCACATTCCCCCCCTTCCCCACATCCAGTTTTCCCCAGCTTCCTCCCCCCTGGTCGACCCCTCCGCCATCCCCCAGCAGCGCGCGCCACGCGCCCACGCACCCGCCCGTTAACTGCGCGTACGCCCTCCCCTCGTACTTAATCTCGATCTCCGGAGATTCCGCGCCTGCTGCCACGTGTCCCGAGCCCAACACGCGGTTGTTGCGGAAAGAGGAAAACGGGGCGTCATTATCAGCGCCAGCAGTGGCGCCAGAGCGGTTCACTGCGGTTCTGTGGTTTGGGAACCGGCGCGCATGTAGAATCTCCACCATGATCTCCGCCGACTCGACTATAGTCGGCCCCGAGTTGTTAAAGTAACGGTCGCCGTCAGCAACGAAGACGGAATCCGTCTGAACCGCTCTTAACCGGTTCCACTGGGGCAAATCGTCCAGGCTAAGAAACTCTCTTAAAACCGCTTCCATGGACAAGCCGCAGCACATGGCGATGATGACGTCAGGGTCCAGAGATAGAAGTGTTTCCAAAGTTAGCATGGCCGTGCGCTCCCCGGGCTGTGGGCAGAAGAAGGGAAAAAGGGGATAAGGAGGAAACGGTTGTGGTGAGTGGCATTGAGAGGACGAGAGGGGGAAACGGAAAGGCTAACAGCGCCATCTCACCTCCCCCATGTCTCACCTTCCCCGACAGGCTCTTGCCTCCCGCGCAAGCGACGATCTCCGGAACCCAGAATCCCGCGCCCATGAGCGGGCGCAGCCACTGCAGGCACACCACGCGCACGCGCGGAGACGATCCGCGGAGTGGAACCTGTCTCCGCACGAGCGACCAGCGCGCCTTGAGAGTCTGCACGAGCACGCAGCCTTTCTCCCTGTGCCCCACCGCCGCTGCGACCTGAACCATGTTGTCCCACACGTCCGAGATCGTGATTGGCTTGAGCGACACCACGTGGCACACGTGTCCCGAGTCTTCGCGCTGCTTGAAGTACTCCGCGCACGCCGCCTCGAGGTCCGCTACAGTCACGAGGCACACGTCGCACGCGTCCTGCGTTATAATCACATCTGGCTGCAGTCGTTTTATTGCTTCCACGTCCACGTGGTATCGGGAGAGGCTCTTCCGCAAGCGCTGCGACAGCTGCGGTTGGGGAAGAGGGGAGTCGGAAGGGGAAGCGTAAGGGGGAGGCGAAAGGGGGAAGCGGGAAAGGGAAGCCAGAAAGGCGGAGGGGGAAGGGAGTGGGAGCGCATGTGAGCATTGATTATACGAGGGGCAGGACGAGACGAGACGAGACGAGACGAGACGAGACGAGGAGACGAGACGAATGTGAATGGTTCTGAACACAACCTAAGAAATCGCCACGCCACATTGCACCCAGACTGTCCGCACTGTGTCGCGAGGGGCACTGGGCACGCGAGAGATTTTCTAGAATTCTCGAAATTTCTCGCAGAGAGACCCTTGCGCGCGTGCTGCGACAGCTGCGGTTGGACGAGGGGCGGGGCGGCCGCGGGAATGAGAGGCGCAGGGGGGAGGGTGGCATAGCTGTGGGAGGAGTAGAAATGGAGAGGGAATGACGGTGAGGTGGAGAGGGGAGAGAGAAGGGGGCGGGGCGAAGGACAGGTGGGGCGGGAAAGAGGGGAAGGAGGAAGGGTGGGGGGTGGGTTGGGGGGGTTGACGGGGTCGGGGGAGGGGGGCATCGTCTACGGCTCAACATGACGTCGGCTCGCCGCGCACTCACCGTGTCGTGCGCGGAGCCGCAGCTTGGCCCCTCCACGACCGATCCCGACGCGGGCGCCGTGACGCACGGCAGCGCGAGCACGGACGGCGGGAACTTGCACTCGTGCGATCGCCCCACGAGCAGATGCTGCAACCCTAGCGTCGCCACCACCTCCGTCGCCGCCCCTAGGAGCGATACAACCCTAAGAGAGCCGTCCCTACCCCTGCTCCGGTCCCGCTCTCTGTTCGCGCCGCCGATGCTACCCCTGCTGCTGCTCGTTACGCTCGCGCTGGTTGCGCCGTTCGTCCCGCCGTGCCGGCCGTTGCTGGCGGTCGCGCTCCCGCTCTCGCTTCCGCTGCTGCTAACTCGGCTGCTCGCGCCCGAGGTTCGGTCGGTCCCTTCGAGGCTAGGGACTGGCGGTTCTATCCGAAGCTTCAGCTGCGGGACTGGCGAGGTGCCGTCGTGCTGCTTCGACGAAGCTTCCTTGGCCTTTCTGTGGATGCGCAGGGAGTCAGCCGTTTGGAGAGCCATAGGCGACTCATCGTCTCTACCAGAACGGTCTATTGCGGGGCTTCCGTTAAACGGACGGTCCAGTGAGGAGCGTGCTGAGGTGGAACGGGAAGAGGAGGACGAGAGGGAGGAGCCGGAAGGAACGGAGGAGACAGCGGTGGAGGAAGGAGACGAAAGAGGAGGGCAATCATCGTCGACAATGGCCCTAGTAACCTCGATAGTTACGGCAGGCGCGCCCGGTTCGCTCTTCCCCAATGCATAGCTCCTAGGCTTATCCTTCTTGCCCTTCCCTTTCCAGTCCAATAACGAGCCTCCGCTGGAGGTTCGGCTAGGCTTGACCCGAGCCTCCTCTGGAATCTCCTCGCCTAGCGGGACATGATGCGCTTTGGTTGCTGCTGACGTAGGTTCGGCTGTAGCTGCTACTGACGTGGACTTGGAACTGCCTCCCTTCCGACCGTCTTTAAGAAGCGACAGCCAGCTGCTGCTTTTCTTACGCGATAGTGCCTGCTCGAGATGATGCATGGCTAAATGTTACGTTTGACGGACAAAAACAATCAACGGAAAGTTAATCAACTAACAATGCGATGTGTGGCGCCAGTGACTAATGTGGGAAATTAGCGAACCTACGCTCATCTAAACGCATCGTCACCTTCGAATGCAACCTAGAATCTCTAAACACGTATTGCTGCTGACTACTCCTAAGCTGCTGTCAACACGAAAAAATCAATGCCGTTTCTTCCTTAGAGCTCGGTGAGGCCCAACCTCCTCGAGGTGCATAGCTCGTCTAAAACCGTCTCAGTAGCCTGTGACAGGACCATAAACAAAACCAGACTCTCCATTCTGAGGAGGACAATCAAGCTAAGACAGGACAGAAAACTGTAGCTCTGCAGAGCAAACAGGTTAGGGTAGGTTCCTCTCAGTGAGAAGAGCGTGAGATCAGGGAGCGTGCTGTTTTGGTTTGGTTTGGTCAGCAGGAAGCTTGGCCACCAAAAGGAAGAGGGGAGGGGAGGCCCGGTGAGTGAAAGAGGCCTGCGGGGGAGCTTAGCTCGGTGGTGTGCCGAGCTGCGCAAAGCGTGGCTGAGTTACCTTCGTGGTCCGCCGCACCTTCGCCCTTCACTCCGAATTCGTCGAGGCTCGGTCCCTAGCGCACTCAACTTTCCTTACCGTGGCTGAGCGCTGGGCTTGGTGAATTTGCAAACAGGTATGCGAGAGCTAGTACGGGTGGCTCTTCAATGCCGGAGCATAACTTGGCTCGAAGGCCTAGCCTACTGTTTCCATCCGAGCCAAGCAGATGCATGCAAGCGCCATCAAAGCACGTGTGCAGAACGGAGGGTTAGGAGCTGTGCCTTTTTGCTGAGGCAGGCTGGCCTGGAGTGCCGAAGCAAAAGAAAACAAGTACGAGCCAATCAGCGAAAGTCCTGCCTGGGGTCTCTCGAAACAGCACGGCTGTGCGTTAATTCCGAGCCGAACGGCCCAGCCAAGAATCTGCTGCTTTGTGGCATTTTCAAAGCAGGCTTCGACCTCGGCTTTGCCGAACGTGAAGTGTCACGCGAGGTTTGGGACCCAACCAGAGTGACGGCATCCACTCACAGCCAAACCGCTAAAATCGACGTTCTGGCTCGGCTGGGGCTTTCACCCCGAAACCACCGCCGACGACACTGATTGGCTATAGAGCCGAGCGCCTCGAGCTGTTCCGAAAGCGCGGGGCCGTCGTCATCCTTGAACCACCGCGCCGCTTGAAGCTGGGCGGTGACAAGAGCGAGTAGTGATAAAAAGGAATGGCCAAATACAAATACGGTACAGTACTCCTGATCAGCAGCAGCTCAAGCCAAGGATTTCAACTTTTAGCATTTTATCAGGCTACACAGCCTTGCCCAGAGCAACCAATTCTGCCCTCACATCCCTTAGCTAAATACCACGAGCTGTCATCAAGTCCTGTCGCCTAACATGGTTTCAACCTCTTTCATATTTCCTTTCCGACACCACCCACCTAAGGCGCATCTCCGGCATTTTCAGCTTCTCTCTGGCATCTTCATGCCACCACCCCTCTTCCTGCTCTCCAGCCTGGAACAAACCCATGGGAAGGATACGGTAATGGAGGAAAGCGTGAATCCAATGAGACAGAGAGGTTGAAAAACCATGCGGATCACACGCAAGCAAGCAAAACAGGGAGGAAGAAGAAAAGGCAGCTCACGAGGGGCCGAGCAGGTACCCCTCCCCTCCTCCCCCCCTCCCCCCCAGTCTCCTCGTCAAACAAAGTTGCATGTTTTCTCAATGCGGTAACCGCAGTCGGGTGTGCCCGGTAACCCACCAACAGGTACAACAGGCACTCAAAAAGACCAGCCAACTCAGGGAGCGCGAACAACTCACGAGGGGGCGAGCTTGCCCAGGCAGAGCAGGTACTCCCCAATCTCAATGTGGTAACCGCAGTCAGGTGTGCCCGGTAACCCAACAGGTACTCGACAGACCAGCCTACTGGGGGAATGCGAGCTTCCCCAGGCAGAGCGGGAGGGAGCAAGCAAGCAAAAGAAATGCCGGCAGTGCTGGCAAGGCAACTCACGAGGGGGCGAGCTTCCCCAGGCAGAGCAGGTACTCCCCGGTCTCCTCATCATGCATGTTGCCGTTGATCTCAATGCGGTAACCGCAGTCCGGCGTGCCCGGTAACCCACCAACAGGTACAACAAGTACTTGAGAGACCAGGTGGTACAACAACAGGCACTCACGAGGGGGCGAGCTTCCCCAGGCAGAGCAGGTACTCCCCGGTCTCCTCATCAAACACGTTGCCCGTGATCTCAATGCGGTAACCGCAGTCCGGCGTGCCCGGTAACCCTCTCTTCATCAGCCGCTCCAGGTCCCTGTGGTGCAGCTCCCTGCCGTTCACATACACGCGGGTTGCGCCCCCCGCGCAGGACTGGGGAATCGGCACGCCAAAGTCAATGCCAGGCTGGCAGGTGGAAGGGGGGGTGGGGGTTGGGGGGTGGGAGGAGCAGCCTTCAGGTCCCTGTGGTGCGGCTCCCTGCCGTTCACATACACTCGGGTTGAGCTGCCGGCACAGGATTGTGGCATCACTACCCCAAAGTCAATGCCAGGCTGGCACGGGAAGGTTTGGGGTGGGGGGGGAGGGGAAAGTATAGGGAGGGAGGCTCCAGACTCGAGGTCCCTGTGGTGCAGCTCCCTGCCGTTCACATACACGCAGGTTGAGCACCCCACACTAAAGTGATGCATTGGCATGCCAAAGTCGATGCCCCGCTGGCAGGGGGAGGGAGGGGAGAAAAGGGAGACACAGGAAGGGAAAAGACGGGAGAGGGGAAGGAGAGTAGGCTAACATGGGGCAAAAAGAGAGGGTGAGAACGGAGAAGGTGTAAAAAGGGTGAAGGCAACAGGAGGTGTGATGGTTGTGAGGAGAGAAGGGAAGGGGAATGTTGAAAACAAATGGAGGAACTTGCTATGTGTAACACAGAAGGGTGTGAGCCAACATGCTGCATGCCAGCCCAGCACTTACCGGAATGATGCCGAGGCATGGCCCACCCATCTCACCCCAGAAGCCTGCCACGTCATCATACCTGCCACAAAACAGGGGACAGAGTACTGCCACGTGGTTACTACCTAAACCACCAGGGTATAGTGCAGCAGGCAATAATCTCCACTCAGATCATGCTGTCTACTGTGCCATGCCCCATGTACCATGCCCCATGTTGCATGCCCCATGTTGCATGCCCATGTTGCATGCCTCATAGGTCATGATGCTACGCATGCACCACCGACCATTCACCATGCACCACACACCACCCACCACATACACATCCCTTCTCTCACCAGTAGTTTCCAGGGTGGATGGGTCCCGCCTACTGCTCTGCCACAGCCACATACTCATCCGGCAAAGCCTGCCCATTCACCATCACCTGTCGGCTATACATCTCCCCACGCACCATGAGTCACCATGCCATGCATGCACCATGCACCACACACACAACCCTTCTCTCACCAGTAGTTGCCCGGGTGAATGGGTCCCGCCCGCTGCTCTGCCACAGCCACATACTCATCCGGCAATGCCTGCCCATTCACCATCACCTGCCGGCTATACATCATCCCATCCTCCTCCCCCATTCCTCCCCCCATGCCTCCCCCCATGTTTCCCCCCATGCCTCCGCCCATGTGTCCGCCCATGTTTCCGCCCATGCTTCCGCCCATGCTTCCGCCCATGCTTCCCCCCGGCCCCCCGCCCATCCCCTGCTGCTGCTGGTTGTGCCCATAAGACGGCGCAGCCATTTCCCCCCCTTCCACTCCCCCCTGCCTGCCCATCCCCCCCGGGCCCCTCCTGCCCATAACCCCCCCGCCTCTCCCCGCCCCCATCCTCCCCCCGCCTCTCCCCCTTCCCCCGGGCCCTCTCCCCCCGACTGCTCCTCCCCCTTGCCCGCCCATTCCGCCCCCCATCCCTCCGCCCCCGCCCCCTTCCGCCATATAATCATCAGACTCCCTAGAAAGCGAGCGCATGTGGTTGGGGGGGGGGGGGCCTCCCCCTCCGCCTGGCCCCATGCCTGGGCGGAACCCTCCCCCTCCCCCTGCGCCCCCCCCTCCGCTCATGCTCGCGTTACCATCACTGTCATATCCGGTCCCACTCCCCCCCCTCTGCTGCTGCTGAAGCGGGGAGGGGGAGGGGAAGCGCCCGCTCCCCCCGGCGCCCTGCAGCTGCTGATTGGGATGCTGCTGAGCTGGCGGCTGTGGCGGCGGCGGCTGCTGACTTGGCGGCAGTTGGTTGGCGAAACGCGGGTCAGCAGGGTTGACCTGGAAGCGAGAGACTCGCAGGCACTTGCCGCAGCGTAGCTTCTGGACGCCCTTCTTAGCGGGAGGAAGCTGCAGAGGCACTTCCAGTAGCTGGGAGCAGCGCTGGCACTGCGAATACACAGGGGGGAGGCAAGGGCAGAGAGAGGGAGACGGGACGTGGGGAGGAGCGGGAGGGGGGAAACGAATAGAGGAAGAAGAGTGGGAGGGGAATCGGGAGGAGCGGATGGAGGGAGGAGAGAAGGCGAGGCAAAGAGGATTGCAATCGCGGCAACCCTCGCCATGACTGCACTACTCGCCACTAGGGAAAGGCCAGGGAGCGAGGGAGGGGGTGTGAGGGGGGAGGGAAAGGGAGAAGGTGAAGGAGCGGTTTGGGAGGGCACAGCATACCTGCACGACTTGCGGCGCGCTGGGCGGGGGCAGCATGGGCAGCGAGGCCGCCTCGTCCTGTTGCTGCTGCGCCTGCATGTGCTGCAGCCGCCGCGTGAAATTCGTATCCGACGCATCAGACATGTTCCCCGCGCCCGCCCCGTAATACTCGTCTTCCACCCCTTGCTGCCCCTGCGCCTGCACCTGCCCCTGCTGCTGCTGCATCATCTGTTGCTGGCCCCCTCCCCCCATCTTCCGCCCAGGCCCCATACCCGACCCACTTCCGCCTCCCCCCATCATCCGCCCGGAATTACCCCCCTGCGCGCCCGCCCACTGCTGCTGCTGACGTGGCGTCTGCTGAAACTGCTGCTCTTGCCCGTAATGCTGCTGCGGATCCTGACCGTACATCCCGTCTTGATACCCCTCCGCCTCGTATCCCATTCCGCCTTGAGGGGAGTAAACGTTACCATCCCCCCCAGGGTACTGCCCCCCGCCTGCGCGGAACGGGCTCCCGGACCTATCGTACCCCCCTTGCGGGTTTGGCACAGCGCCCCCCGCCCTGCCTCCCCTTCCCCCTCCCCCTCCGCCCATCATCTGACCGCCGCCGTACGCGCCGCCATCGTCCCCGCCGAACCCGCCGCCGCCGTAGCCCGTGGGCGTTTGCGCCGCGCTGCTGCGCTTAAGCGCGGACTTGAGCAGCGGCTGTTGCGGCAGCGCCTGCTGCATTCCCTGCATGTTCATCGAATCCTCCCCGCCCGCGCCCGCGCCCATGGGGGACCGCGACCGGCTTGCGCCGCTTGCGGACTTGCGTATCCCGCTTTGCGCGGGGCTTCCGCTTCTGCCCGCTGCACCTGCCCCGCGTCCCCCGCCCGCCCGTCTGCGCGCATCGACTTGCGTCAGCGATCGTCCCAGCTGCTCCTCCCCGCTTCCATCTCCCCCTCCTCCGCCTCCCCCTCCCCCTCCCATCCCCCCCCCTTGCTGCGGAAAACCCGCCGCGGGTCTCCCCCGCGGCTTGCTCCCCATCGTCATCGACCGTCCGAGATCCGATTCCGTCGGATCCTCGTCATCGTCCGGATGCGCCTGCTGCGGCGCCGCTCTCTGCTGACGTGGCTGCGCGGCACGGACATTTTGCTGCTTCCCCGGGGCCTTACCAACCATGGAGAGTGTTCGATTAAATCGCGGCGCGGCGGCGGGTTCCATGTCATCGTCGTCGTTCATCTTGGATTGCGATGGACGGTGGATCATGGAGTTGATCCGACTGAATTGCTTCTCTTGGCCGCCCTTGCTAGGGCCATCGCCGCGAAGTTTGGTAACCGTAGTTCGTTCGCCAGGTGCTTTTTTACGAACGACGGGGCGATCCTCGGATGTGTCTTTTAACGGGACGGTTCGCGTCGAGCCTTCGCGCGCCCGACGCTGCGGGGCGGGGCCCCGCTCCATCTCCACCAGCTCTTAGCTAAAAGCAAGGACTTGGTCAGTAAGTTCAGCCATGAAAACCCTAATCGAACACCTAAGGTATCATCCAGTCGCGAACAACGCGCAATGTGACCAAGATCTTGGAGAAATTTAAAGAGTTCAACAAGTAAGGCTGTCACAGAAAACCCTAGGAAGGAATTTAGGCAATGCGGTAGGACACGAACTCCACCTGAGCAGAAAGTGCAACTGACGAGTCTCGCAAACAAGCTTCGTGAGTTGTGAGTAGTGGGTGGAGATGGAGAGGCAGAGGGGTGGTGGATGGCTGGTGTGGGACGGATGGATGAGTAGAGGCCTCAAGCCAGGGTCCTCGAGGTGCACGCTTTTGGCGGCAAGCACGAGAGATGCTGATTTGAGGAGACGAGGCACACAGGCAGGCAGGAAGGCAAGCAAGAGGAGATATCAAGGGAGGATTGATAGGGCGGTGAACAAAATCAATGCTGCTTTGGTAAGTGCGGTGGGGGGGGTCTTGTTTCTTAGTCAGAGTGGCGACCAGACAATTGAGTGCCTGAGAATTGACACAAATTGTAAGCATTGTACTTAGCCAAAACGTACGGTTGATAGGCCTTTCCTTGCAGTTGGTGGGGGTTCACTAGGGTCATAGCTTGTTAGCGTTGCTACATTTTGGTGATACAAAGGTTTGGGAACACCTGCCGTATTTGGTCCTCCTACCGTATGATCAACAAAAGGTTAAAAAACCTGAGTAAAAATCATTGCCATTGTAAATAATTGTGTGTTGTGATAACTGGCGAGAGGTTCAGGAGCAAGCAAGGTAAATAGACAAATGGGGCTTTGGATTAGGGTTGAGAGAAATCTACACTAGGATGAGAAGGCACTTGGGGTAAGGCACCTACGGTAGGATGCACTCTATATACACTACATAATATAGCAAGCTGTTTAAATCAAATCTAACTTTAAGATACCCCCTACACTACTTGCAACAGGAACCAATGAATGAACTCCCCCTACAGGGGTACACAGCTAAAGCGAGAAGGACACGGAGAGGCACATCGGAAGATGCGGTGGAAATTATGTAGAGTGGCGGATGATGCAGCGGTGGCAGATGCAGCGGCGACCGATGTTCGGCGACAGCAGATGCGGTGGCGGCAAGTGCGATGGCAATGTGTGTTGCGGCGGCTATAGTAGGCAGCGGCACAACATGAACTTAACAACAGCAGAAGCAGCGCTTGGAGCAGGCAGTGGCGTTGAATTATCAATGGCGGCAGTGTTGAAATGCTAGGGAGAAACAAGAAACAAGAAAAAGAGGGATTTCACTAGCATGCAGTGCTGTACATATAGCAAACCCTAATTCGGGCTGTACTCGCTATAGAGTACCCCACTGCAGGCTACACAAACATCACATTCTGACACACCCCCATAGTCAAAATGGGGTACAATCAAAACAACAAGCAGGCAAAGCAGAAAACAAGCTCAGGGTGGATCACAATGTCACCACACATTCTGAGCACAAGTTCAAAAGGCAACAGTTTACAATGATAAGCAAGGCTAGAGGCAGTCACAGAGGGCAAGTGAGGAGGAGGAGAGACTGTGAGAGGAGTGAAGATAGAAGGCGACGGGTGAAGCCGCAGACACACGGGCAACAGGAACGGAGCGCACGGTGGCTACCGGAGCACTCAACCTCCGGACTACAGGAGTAACTGGCTCCGCGCTAAGCAGCAGCAGGAGCAACAGACCCACGGGCGACTGGCAGCAGCAGGCTCGCTGGGCTACCGGAGTACTCAACCCCCGGACTACTGGCGCTGCAGACGTCACAACGGCAACCTCCGATCAACCTCCCCCAACTGTCCCACACCCCTTTCACACTCCCCTTATTGAACCTCTAGCACCGCTCACACACCACCCCCCTCGTACCACTCCGACGGCTCCAACACATCCACCCCCCTCAGCGGCAGCTGCAGCAGTGGGAGACGGAGGAGGAGGAGTAGGGGACGGCACACACACCCGGCACCCCCATACTCTCCACCCCCAAACCCTAACACAGGAACGCAGGCAGCAACGGGGGTGGGGCGCAGTCAGGAGCTCGGGGGACGGCGTGCGGTAAGGGGGGAGACAGTACGGGCCGCTCACAGGCCTGGCGCAGCCCCTACCGGCTGCGCGCGGGCCTGGCGCAGCCCGTACCGGCCGCGCGCGGGCCTGGCGCAGGTCGCGCGTGTGAGAATGATAGACGAAAGAATGATTGACTTAGGAAATGAGAAGGGTACAAGTAGGAAACACATAAGTGTTGTACCCTCTAAGGACTACCCCACTACAGCCTAGACCGACTATAGTAAATATATGTTTGACACACCCCCATAGGCAAAGTGGGGGAGAACAAGGGGTCACAAGACCAGTCAAGAAAGACAAAGCAAACTCAGGGTGGATCACAAAGTCACCACACAGTCTGAGCACAAGCAAAGGGCCAGAAGGCCAGTTCACATGCAGAGTTATATAAAGGAAAGCAAACAATACAGTGAACACAACCTAGCAAGTGTAAGCATGCAGGTATAAGTATATAGAGTACAGTACAAGCAGAGTCAAGAAGTCAACAAGTGAGGCACAGTAGGTACAAGGCCTAACACAGTACAGAAACGCTGATGATCACAAGGCTGAAGTGCCTTGGTGAAGACATCAGCAGTGTTGGCCTGAGAGGCCACGTAAGCAAGACGAAGCTGGCCACGCTGCTGCAACTCTCGAGCAAGGAAGTAGCGCAGAGCAATGTGCTTCGTTCTGTGCTCCAGTCTGTGCTCCTGACACAAGGCCAGCATGGCCTTGTTGTCGACGTACAGAACTGGAGGAGAACGAGGCGCCTCTCCCAAGTCGGTCAGCAGGTAGGTGAGCCAGCGAAGCTCCTGTGCAGCCATGGCCCCAGCGTAGATCTCAGCCTCACAACTGGAGCTGAGAACAGAAGAAGAGTGGGTAGACCGCCAGGAGACAGAACCGGAGCCAAGGCTGAAGGTGTAACCCTGTGAAGACCGCTGCGTAGCCAAGTCGTCAACCCAGGAGGCGTCAGCGTGACCAGTGAGGACAACTCGAGCCCGTCCTCCAAGCACGAGCCCCATGCCCGATGTACTGCACAAGTATCGCAACACCCTCTTCGCAGCATCCCAGTGCACCTTTCGGTGCCTGCCGGGAGCCACGTAGCGAGCCAGAAGGCTGAGAGGGTATGCGAGGTCAGGTCGTGTGCAAGTCATCAGGTACATGAGGCAGCCAACAAGCTCTGGATACGGGCCACTCGGCTCTACGGACTCGTCCGAAGGTGGAGCTGAGAGCGAGTGACCGGTAGGCAGAGGAGTGGACTGTGGTGAGGAGTAGGTGAAGCCGAAGCACTGAAGGACCTGCTGCACCATGTGTGACTGAGTCAAGGTAATGGTGCGCTGTGCTCTGTCCCGGGTGATCCGCAAGCCAAGATAGCTTGTGAGCTCACCCAGGTCTGTGCACGTGTGTCTCTTCTGCAGCTCGGACTTCACGTGGGCGAGTGCCTCCGTGTCAGCAGTAGCAAAGACAAGGTCGTCTACGTACACAAGAACGTAGAACGGCGGCAGAGTAGCGTCGGTGCGTAGAAACAGAGAAGGGTCAGCAGTGGAAGGAGCAAAACCAAGAGCAGCAAGAGTCGTCCTGAGCGTGTCGTGCCACTCACGGGGCGCCTGGCGGAGACCGTAGACTGGCCGCCGGAGGCTCCACTGTGTACCAGCAGGAAACGACCCAGTGAAGCCAGGTGGGCGGCGCAGCCAGATCTCCTCGTGCAGGCTGCCCTGTAGGAAGGCTGTGCTGAAGTCAAGCGAGTGGAGCTCGTAGTCACGCTGAGCAGCAACGTGCAGCAGTACCCGAAGAGTGGTCATCTTCGGGGTAGGGGAGAAGGTCTGAAAGAAGTCAACTCCCTGTCGCTGACTGAAGCCACGTGCAACGTAACGCGCCTTGAAGGCAGGCGGAGAACCCGGCGGCCGCTTCACCCTGAAGATCCACATGCCACTGACGATGTTCGCCCCAGGTGGGGGAACCTCGTCTACGTAGGTGCCTGTGGACTTCCAGGAAGCCATCTCTGCGTCCATGGCTGCCTGCCACTGGGAGGAGTAGGGACCCTCTATCGCCTCTGCGTAAGAGCGCGGGGTCGGGATGTCTAGTGCATCCGGGTCTCCCTCAGGGGCAAGCAGCATGGACACGAGATGAGGCGAAGAAGCAGCAAAGCACTCAAGGTCCTCCTGCCTGTCCTCAAGGACGTCCGTGCCAAGAGCACACTCACCCCCGACGGACGGAGGACAGACAGACACAGACGCAGACTCAGCAACAAGACTAGCGGCGTAGTCTAGGCGACAGGCTGCAGCAAAGTCAACAAGCTCAGCAACAAGAGCAGACGCAGCAGAGAACTCAAACAGGGGGTCAGTGACAGCAGTGGCCAGAAAGCGCGTGACAGTAGGACTAGCAGCACGAAGGGAGTCAGACTCCGGGTCCGGACCGTCAGGAAGAGAGGACGCAGGAGGAGAGGGCAGAGGGACACGCTGTGGAGCAGTGGAAGGACGCAGAGTCATAGAGTGAGTGCCAGGGACAGGAGGAAGACGCGGACGCGAAACACGACCAGCGCGAACAGAACGGACAGGCGACGTAGAACGAGACGCAGGCGACACAGGACGCGACTCAGGCTCACGACGCTCCGTAAGACCTCTAGTCGGACGAGAGTAAGGAGAAGGACCAGGCAGCGGAGAGGCCGGCTGTAACTGCGACTGAGACGGGACAGGCGGTGGACTCAGGGAAGGAGGAGGAGGACCAGGAGAAGGTGG